CTATCTATCTATCTATGTCTCTCTATTCTATCATTCACTCTCTCTCTATTCTATTTCTCTCTCTACTCTATCACTCTCTATTCTACCCCTATTATCTATATCCATTATCTATCTATCTATCTATCTATCTATCTATCTATCTAACTATCTATCTATCTATCTATCTATTATCTCTCTCTCTCTCTCTCTCTCGTCTGCCTGCCTGCCTGCCTACCTACCTATCATCCATCTATCTATATCTATCTATCTATCTATCTATCTATCTATCTATCTATCTATCTATCTATCTATCTATCTATTATCTCTCTCTCTCTCTCTCTCTCTCGTCTGCCTGCCTGCCTGCCTACCTACCTATCATCCATCTATCTATATCTATCTATCTATCTATCTATCTATCTATCTATCTATCTATCTATCTATCTATCTATCTTCTATTATTTCTCTCTCTCTCTCATCTGCCTGCCTGCCTATCTATCTATCTATCTATCTATCATTTATCTATCTAATTTGTTGACACTTTATTTAAAGTAAATGTCTTTATCAGTGACTGCCTGACCTCTGCAGTTGCCACAAGCTAAATAAAAAGCCATCGCTCCCCTTAAAACCTCCACTTCAGAATTTCTTAACTTACCCATGGATTGAAAACCTCCCGATTTCTTCTTTTTTTTGTTCTGGGCACGAACCATTTCCTGCGTATCGGGCTCAATATCGGAAGCACCATCAGACTTGGATAAAGCCGTTTCTGCCATCTCATAGTCCTTTATACACAAATAAGGAAAAATGGAAATTTTCAGTTCTGGGCTGCTGGGACAGGCATGCTCACAGTTGTAGGCAGTTGTTGTGGTCCACCGGCAACCTGCGGAGCTGGCAGCAGATTCAGACAGTGAGGAGGCTGGGGAGGAACATGGGCCAGTCCTGGAGTCTGGGGAAAGCTTTGATAAGGGCTCTGCATCCGACGCAGAGAGGGCGCCATCTGGTAGTTATGTGCCGCTTCTGGAGCCCCCGGAGTCTGACATCACTGAGGCAGAGGAACAGGAGGAGCCTGTTCCCAGTGCGGCACATGCACAGAGCTGCCAGAAGGCAAGAACAGTTAAGACAAAAGGGGTGACTCGGGAGTAAGGCTTGGAGATGATTGGCCCCTCCCATAAGACATATAAGAGGAGCAAACAGAGGTGACTCTTCGCAGGAAGCAATTTGGTTCCTTCTGGTCGGTTTAAACTCTGAAGCTCTGATTTGGCCTTGCCTGAAAGGCATTATCCTGAAAGACTTAGGCAGACTTCTGTCAGACTCTTCACAGACTGGTTGTGACTCATTACGGGCTGTGAATGAACATAATTCACAGCCTTAAATAAAAAGAGGGTTTTTGTGACTAAGCATGTGATTTTTACTGTCTCAGGAAGCTTAAGTCAGAACAGCAGCTTGGGATGCAGTTCCCATGCCATGGCTGGGGATAATGGGAAGTTGAGCTGCAGTTCCCATGCCATGGCTGGAGATGATGGGAACTTGGGCTGCAGTTCCCATGCCATGGCTGGGGATGATGGGAACTTGGACTGTGATTCCCATGCCATGGCTGGGGATGATGGGAACTTGGGACTGCGATTCCCATGCCATGGATGGGGGATGATGTGAATCTGGGCTGCAGTTCCCATGCCATGGCTGGGGATGATGGGAACTTGGACTGTGATTCCCATGCCATGGCTGGGGATGATGGGAACTTGGGACTGCGATTCCCATGCCATGGATGGGGGATGATGTGAATCTGGGCTGCAGTTCCCATGCCATGGCTGGGGATGATGAGAACTTGGGACTGCGATTCCCATGCCATGGATGGGGATGATGGGAACTTGGACTGTGATTCCCATGCCATGGCTGGGGATGATGGGAACTTGGGACTGCGATTCCCATGCCATGGATGGGGGATGATGGGAATCTGGGCTGC